CCATAACCATGAAACAATCACGAATATCCAAACAAACAACCCGAAACCGAAACTGACACAGCGCCGGCCGGTCTGACCGCTTACTCAAAATTTTATTAAACCTAGAAAGATAGTCATCCAAAGCTTCTCCAGGTTTCATCTCAAATTTAATGTATTCCTTTCTGAAAAGATCACGACGAAGTTTTTTAATGTTATTTGTACCTTGATGAAAATTACTCAAAGCAATCCAAATCTTATGAGCAGTTTGAAGATAAGCAACACGATCATAATCCGAACGAGAAATACCACTCAAAAGAATGTTGCGAGCTTTGCAATTTTGTTCAAAAACAATTTTTTAGCAGCAGTATTAATAGCTTCAGGAATCACATAAGGATGAGAAACTTTTCTCCAAAGATCATAATTCTCAGCCATAATGTAAGATTGCATCCTACTACACCAATGAGAAAAATCCGTTCCATCGAAAATATGAGGCTTAGTTGTAAACTTATTAGAAATAGCCATGGCAAAAACTCAAGATCGGTAAAGATCAAAAAGAGCAAACGTGGCTCTGATACCACTTGTAGGATCGAATCACAAGAACTAAGCCAACCAGAGGGGGGTGAATGATTGGTATACCCAAAAACCAAAAACTTTTAGCGGCAATAAAAGTTACCCTCGAAATCGATGGCTCGCGGTCTGACCAAAGTAGTTGTACCAGTCTAACCACCTGGAACACGCCGGTCTGACCGAGATCAAAGTCCATTCGAACCGCCGAGATCACCTGTCGCTGACCGCCCTAGCGCCGCCGGTCTGACCGCCCTAGCGCCGCCGGTCTGACCACCAGTATATCGCCGGTTAGACCGCCGAAACCCAGTGAAACACAAATCGAAGAACTCTCAAAGTAGATGACAACTTTATTGCTTCTCTCTGTGTTTACAAAGTGCACCAACAGCACTCCTTACAAAAATCTCGACTAAACTCGAAACCCTAACTAAACTAGATCTCAAAAGCTATACAAAAGTGATACCGGGAAGCCTCACGCTCCCCCTCTATTTATACATGAGGTAGGTAGCCTAAAGCCACGAATCAAACTCATACAAAGAGTCCTAAACACCATAGAAAACCCTCTAGTACAAGAAAGAAACTTTACATAACCATTCGTACCAAATTTGGACTCCTTCCAAATTCGACTCAGCATCCCATACGCACACAATACCTCCATCGTATGCCATATGGAATCTTCACCAACCACGTGCATCAACTCTAGCCTTAGTATCCCGCATGATATCTGACCACCACGGACATCGTCTTACCACCAAGCCGACTCCCGGTCCATCACCGCAAATATTCTCCCGATGCATTGTAAGACAGCAGCCTAAAGCCACGAACCAAACCCATACTAAGAGTCCTAATCCCCATAGGAAACCTCCTAGTACAAGAAACAAACTCTACATAACCAATCATACCAAATTTGGACTACTTCCAAATTCGACTCCGCATCCCATACGCACACAATACCTCCATCGTATGCCATATGGAATCTCCATCAACCACGTGCATCAACTCTAGCCTTAGTATCCCGCATGATATCTGACTACCACGGACATTGTCTTAACACCAAGCCGACTCCCGGACCATCACCGCAAATACTCTCTCGAGGCATTGAGTCACCTACACATGAAACAAACAAAGAAACCATATTCCGAGACCAAGCTATCTCCCACTTGACTCATTGTTAGCAAACAAACAGTATTACATACGTATAGTATCTATCTAGAAGCCATAACCATGAAACAATCACAGATATCCAAAGAAACAACCCGAAACCGAAACCGACACAGCGTCGGCCGGTCAGACCGCGGGCCGGCCGGTCCGACCGCTCGATCTCCGCCGGTCTGACCGGCAACACCTTCCCGGTCTGACCGGTCACATGAAATAACAGCGATTTCCTGTAGATTCACCTGTGAACTCCAATCATCTCCAAAACCACTTCGTGAATAAACTCCAGTATCAAAACCAATAATCACAGATGCCAATTGTTCATCACAGAATAAAAATCAAAACACACGTTGATCTTACAATTTCCCCCTTGATGAACACATTGGCAAACCCATTAAAAATGTTTTGGAGTTTGGAACATTAAAAACAAAAGCGGTAAAAAGCACACTTCGTACAAACGTACACATCGTGCTCAAAAATCCAAAAGAAAACTACTCCCCCTTTTTAAAAGAAAGAAATTCCCAATTGAACCAAAAACAAGAAACCTTCTCCCCTTTTTAAAAGAAAGAAATTCCCAATTGAACCAAAAACATGCTCTTCTTAAAAACTCTTCTCTTCTAAAACTTAACTCTTCTCCAAAAGATCCAAAAATTTTCACATTATTTCTCCCCCTTTTGACAACTCCAAAAGATCTAAAAATTTTCACATTATTTCTCCCCCTTTTGACAATGATTTCATAAAGCATAGGAATTATTTCATTAATGTATAAAAGCTTAACATACATATAGCATATCATGTCATGTGTTGCAATAAAAAGAAGATGAACCCATCTATAATATAATAAGCATGCATTAAAGTATAACCATGAATCAAAGATTTTACAATTAAGCTTGAATCAACAATAAAAATTCATGATTTCATACAATTTATAATGCAACATCTTAACAAGCACATAGGTTGAAAAATAAACGCTAAACACATATACCTATTGCATTTATCACTCTTTCTTAAATAACCTTTAGCACAACATAACAAAGAGAATTTTTAACTTTTTCTTTTCTTGAGCCTTTTTCTCATATTTTTCTCTTTTTTTTATTCTGAGTACGTCCCTGTCGTCAAGACTGTTTCCAGGGATTCGGCACCCATTATTTTACTCACATCGAATACGTCTTTGTCGTCAAGACTGTTTCCAAGGATTCGGTATTCATTTTTTCATATTTTATTCTCTTTTTCACAATGAGCAATTAAAGCTATTTGAGGAATAACAATTCAATAAAACATATATATATATAGCATTTAGAAATCAAACCATATGCTTTTACATCAACATTGCATATTTGCTTAATTCAAGTATAGAATTTAAGTGTCATGCATCATCTCTCTTAAAAGCAAAATTTAAATCTCATGAAAAGACTAGAATACATACAAGCTATGCTAGAGACAAATAAACCTTCAAAGTATTGCTGGCATGCACAAGAAAATACCATATGTATAAACAAAGCTCTCTTTTATCAATTTTTTCATTGTCATATTTTTGCTTGATAAAACCATGAGGTATAAACTCCCCCTTAAATCATGCCAAAAGAAAGTCATAAAAAGCACTAACTCCCCCTCAAAATAACCTCCAATTCTCCCCGAACAAAAATCAAGAAGAAATCAAAGATTTTGAAAAAGACATCCAATTGCCAAAGATATCACAAATACTCTCAAAATTGACATACATTCATTAGTATCAACAAAAACTACAATCTCAAACACTAGCACATGAAAAGCTAATAATCAAGAAAGTAGAACAATATTATGTCAATCCAAAAGTAAATTGATGTTACCTTGAAAAGCAATCGTCATCTCAACATTGAACGCACATGGGGACTATGCCACCAAACTACCTACAAACGAGAAGATGTCGACGCCTCTGTGTTGGGGTTAGAAATAAGAAATTTTGGAATCCAACACTGAGTCACACAACCAGTAGAACCAGTAGATACATATGCACTAATAAAATCAGAACCAGACTTACCTGAAAACTTACCTTGTCGTTTCACAAAAGTCCGATTTGAAGTATGCGAAAAATTGCCCCAAGGCCGGTCTGACCGCCGCTGTACCTGCGGTCTGACCGGGCCTGGCAACTGGTCTGACCGCCCGTTCACCTGCGGTCTGACCGACTGGACAATGTCGGTCTAACTGTGCTCCTCGAATTAAAACCCGATTTTTGCCAATGTCATTTTGCAAAAGCAATTTCTCTTTCCTTTTTCTGTTTATGGGCAAGTCTAAAACAAAAAACAACCAAATGTCCATTTTTTCCACAAAAAGAATAAGTGTACTTTTCACGACAAGTTTGTGAAGTAGATGATTCTGAAATTGATGGTTTTGCATTCACAACATTTGATTTCGATGAAGATGCACTTAAAGAAGACATGATGCCAGCAAATTTAAACACAGTGTTCTTAGGCTCAGATCCAATCAAAATTTCACCTCCTAGCAACACCCAAAATAATAGGAGGATGTCTAGCATGATAAGCATAAGAATCAAAACCTAAACCACGATTGTGTGTGCTAACCTTAGATTGATCCAGAATCATGTTGAGGTTCTTTTTACCATCAGAAAATCTTTGCAAAGAACTTTTCAAATAAGAAACCTTCTGTGTAAGAATAGCACAATTTTTACAAGCATCCAAAAGACCTTTTTATTTTCTACAAGTTGGGCAAGAAAACACCTTATCTTGTTTAACAATTTCTTCCATGTGTTTAACACGCCCTAAAGCATCTTTCAACTTCATCTCATTCAAAACACACTTTGAGCAATCTTGAGAAATCAAAACACCATTGTTTTGTTTTGCCTTATTTGCACATGAAGCATTGACCAAAGAACTTGCACAAAAAGCAACTTTGTATTTTTTTTCAACACATTCTTTGTCAAAATCAACTCATCAACAACACGAGCGACAGCGCGGCGTGCGAGACCGCACGATACCGTCTGCGACGTCTTTCCCACGTTATTTTCGCACAATGGCTGTGCGATACCGACGCGACGTCTTTCCCACGTTATTTTCGCGCAATGGCTGTGCGATACCGACGGTATATTTGTCGTAGGCTCTCCGGACCTCTCATTATATTTGAGGGATAAAGTGAATAATTCAAGCCATCAAACAAACGTAATAAAACATCCGACGCCTCGAGAGAAGGATATTAGAGACATTAATGGGCCTTTAGCTTGCCAGTCAACTTCAGCCTGAGATGTGCCCATCAAACCACACGAAGGAGACGATCAGATGTGTTACACATTCAGGAGACTTGTCAAATGGGCTAAAGATCTACGATACCTCAAATATCCTTAACTCATACTCATATGAATCTTGTTCCTAGGATATGTACTAGATTCACACTTTCTTCTTAAGCATGGTTATGCATAGCAAATACAAATAAGACGAAAGCGATTCAAATTTACAACTACTTTATAGTTACATAGGCCGACCGACCAAATATAGATAGATAACAGAGAACAGCGGAAGCTTGACTACCCAACCACAAGCACACCGATTAAGGGTTTACCCCATTAAGTTCAAGTCCTAGAAAAAGCAATCGAAACCCGCACCACTCAAGAAGACTAAGTCTAACCTGCAAGCAAAAGATTATTCCAGTAGCAAGAGTCAGTACCTTAATGTACTGGCAAGCCAAAAATCAATCCTAACATACTACATGTAAGGCATATATTCAAAGGACAATATGTAGTTTAATTTCAGCATAAAGCAAGTTTTGGTTCACAAATATTTTGTAAAGGAGTTGATTCAATTAAATTAACAAATTTGTAAGTTCATCATAATTAACATAATATATCATCATATATAACAACATATCATCATAAGCATACTCTTGTTGCCTTCAATGGCACAACTCTTATAATCATCATCACTCACACAACTCAACACAATTTTTCCATTTCAATCCCAAGTTTCATCAACACAAGGCTATACTCATGACACATCACCAAAGCGCTCATGACCGTGAGCATGGCTAATCGATTAGTTTTAAAGAACTCTACAGAGTTTGTACAGCTTTACCCACATGATATGAACACTATAGTTTGTTTCGAGTTTGCAAGACTCTACCACATTCTTCACGTTGAATGTGGTCTAAAGGTCATAACGAAGCCTTTACATTGTCTAATGCCTAACCTTGCACGAGCACGGCAAGTGTTTATTCACACGAGGAGCAACCCAAGTGCCGCTAGGTCGGGGGGCCCTCGCCATCCCTAGCGCCATGGCAGCGAACACATCCATTCCTCCACGAGGTACTTAACCGTTATATTAACCGTTATATTGGACACGCTTAGACGCCTAGGCACAACCGCACTAGGTAGCTCCTATAAACCATCATTCCGACTAGTTCATACTACTACTGCCTCCCAATGCAAGGTTAGACATTAAACAACTTAATAAGCTAAGGCCGTCCCATTCCTAGCACATGTGGTTGCACGGTATACTTAGATGGTGACACAAAGTTCGGTCCTTAATTGACTAGGGCGAGCACTTCCCCTATAGGTATGCAACTAACACCATATGCATACCACTTGCCGCCCAGGTCTAAAATCACACTTTTACACCTTTTAATTCACAAATATCAGAGATATTCACCTCTGTCCAGCAGTGAAAATTTTCCCCTAAATTCTCATTTTAAAAGTGATCATGAAATTATTTAGAAACTACTAGGCATGGCTAAGCGTAAGGCTTTTATGTAAGCATGTATAAACCCAATTGAGCACTTTGAAAGTACTCTAACCATTTCTAAGTAACCATTTCTAAGGTTACAATCAGTGAGGATCACAATTATTCAAAGAAGTAAATGCAGCAATTAGGTCATAGCTACCATAACCAAGTTTCAAATACCGTTATAGTCTAAATTCATATGCAACTTTGCAAACAAATATATTTTCATTCCTCAAAACATGGGATTCAATGTGATCAAAGATTGGGAGGAGAAAACTTGCCTTGTTCCTGGGAAATGTTAGCACCTAATTCACTTCTTCATCATTTACGCAATTATCTATATAAAATACACGTTATGCAATTAAACACCAAAATAGGTAAAAATTCAAAATGCTCTAAAATGCATGCTTTGTGCACAGTGGGTAGGTACTGATCTAAGATGAATTTAGGTGAAAGAATTTATATTTTATCTCTTTTTATTTGTGAGTTATGAGTTTTAGAAGTTTACTCGGTACAGGGTGGTATTTACTTAGGTAGTGTTATGAAATATTTTTGCAAAGTGATTTTTATTAGGTTTGATTTCTCAGGGGTGTAGAGATGTGTTTTCTAAGACTAACACATTTGGTTTCATAACTTTTAGAGTTATTATGAATTTCTTATGTATTTTACAAGTTTTAACGTGTTGTAGGTAGGTAGCTTCTATGTGTACATGGTTTTGGAGTTTTATGTCCAGTACATGTTTCATATTGTTTGTGATGTATAAAATGACTAATTTTATTAACCAATATAATCTTAGTTCACAATTTTAGAGATTATATTACGCTACTACACATTTTATACGCTAGGGGAGTGTTCTATGTTAGTTACTTAACATACCAATCTAGAAATTGATATATGAGCTAAGTGTGCTAAGTTTTTGGTGGTTGGGGATAGAACTATGACCTCTCTGGTCTATCAAGTTTTATTTTGGTTACTTAGAGCTAGAGTGCATTTATATATACATTTATACATATGTATTGCCTAACCTATACCATGTGACTAGCACTGAAGTTATCTATTTAAAGTTTAGTGACATATTTAGTATAGAAGGTGCCACATTTTATTTTACCTAATTAAAGTTCATTACTTGCTAGTTCTAAAGAAATTTGGTTCATTCCATTTGGACTAAAGATGAATTCTCTACAAATTTTAGAAGTTGAAGGGTGCTCTAAGTTGTTTATTCCTTATATAAATATTTAGGGGCTTTTATTGCACTGTAAGTATATATTTTTATTTTATATATCTAAAGTGCTAAACTTGATGATTCTACAGAACTTGAGTTTACTCAAAAAGGAAGTAAGATGAATTTTATATAAATTTTTAAAGTTCAGCTTGTCTAAAATTAGTTATTTTGTATAACATACATTTAGAGGTATTTGGTGTAAAGCAAGTGCATCTTTTTATTTTATTTTACCTTAGAGAGTAAGTTGATGAATCTGTGGAAGTTGAGTTTGCTTCAATTTAAGTTGAAATGAATTCTCTATACATTTTGTAAATTTGTGCATGCTTTATGTATAGTTTTTCTTAGACAAATTTTAGAGGTGAAATTTATACTGCAAGTGCCAAGTTTTATGTTTCCATATTAAATTTCATCCTTCTATGAGTTCACAGAAACTTGAATCATCTCAAAATGAGCTATATTTCACTTTGTATGAATTTTACAAGTTTGCATGTTTTTCTGTTGAAAATATAAAGCTCTAGAGGATTTTCCTTAGATTTTCAGATTTTAAGCTCATGGGGTCCACCTGTCAGTGAGAGACCAATATGCAAAAGGTCCCTGGCTTTTCAGGAAATCAATCCGCAGTCCTATGACTGTTCCATGTGTGTGGTAGTTTTTACAAAGTAGTATCTACAGTTTTGTTTCTTCTCCACAGAGGTCCCTGGTTCGAGCTGAAACAGAGCTAGCCATGGCTGAGCTCGTTCTCGAGCTTTCTGGCGGCGAACGGTGGCAGATCTCGGCATGAAACCAAAATATAAAAGGAATAGGGGTTCTTTTCGAAGCCAATGGTGGTCTTATCGTGATCTGTGGTTACCGGAATCAATGGCGACGGCAGCACGAGTGGCTTTGGGTCTCGGGGTAGTGATGCATGTCACGTTAGAGGCCGGATCTAGGTGGATAAAATGCATGCATGCAACTCTAGAAGCTCCAGGGTGCTCACAGTAGTATTGGATGAGGTTGGCGAAGCTTGGTCGTCGACGACGGCGTTCGGAACGGCTCGGCGACGGCGCTCCTTCTCGATGAACGGCGTCGGCTTGACTCACTACAAGAAGTGCCATGCATGTATGTCTCTGGTGTTAAAGAGGTCCTAGGAAATGCATGGAATCGACTTGGAGCTCACCGGAGAAAGAAGAATCAAAGATGGAGCTCGGCGGCCGGAGTTGGAGAAGAATAGCTCGATCTCTCTCCTCAGTGCTCAGATCTTGGGGATTCTTGAGGGCATTTGGAGAGGACCTCGAGGGGAAGATGTTAGCGCGACGGCTCGACCGGATTCGCTCCACAGAAGCCGGGACAGCGACGAGGTCGTGGCGGCGGCGCTCCGGGCGCGCTCTGGAGCTCCCGTGGGCACGATGGCGTTCCCGTCGCTGCAGTGGATGAAATGAGATGGTGTCAAAAGGAAACTTGTTCGGCATGAAGATTAGAATACGGAACGGGAAATATTTGGTGTTGGCGATGTCTCGACGATGGGTTGCGGCGTCCTTCTTCCTGGCGGCCGGCAACGAAGAGGAGAGGGAAGAGGAGAGCTGGAGCTCTCCCTCTCGGTTTCTTTGGCTCACGGGTGGTGAGTGATGTGTGGCGATGCAACTGGGAGGAGGAGAAAGCTAGAGATGCAGAACTGGGCGTCCACGCGTCTCGGCCACGCGTCGACCGGCGCCCAGGGCGTGTCCCCTCTTCTCTCTCGTGTTCTTGGTCGGTTGGAGAGGAGAGACAGAGGAAGGGCAAGCCAAGGAGGCTGCCAAGTGGGTCCAGGGCGAAGGGAACAAGTCTGGAGTGAGAGAGGTGGGTAGGAGATTGGGTGTTAATCCATTTTGGATGATTTTCAGGATTTGAATCTCTCTTCTCTCTTTGTTAATCTATAGTTTAATTTGTGGGCACGATAAATTCATGTGGATTTTTCTGGAGGTAGCTGAAGATACCTAGTTTCCATTTTATTTTGTTTCTCTTAAAAATTTTATGTGGTTTGCACTCAGAAAATTGGAGAATATGGGCTCGGTAGAACTTTGTTTGAATTTTTAGGAGATTTGAACAGAGTAGATAAATTCTGTAAAAATTCTATTTATTCATGATAAATAACCTAGTATTTTAATAAATTATTTACCCTATACACTTTTATGCAGTTTAATGCACATTATGGTGAGGCAGGTTTTAGCCGATTAAGGATTATAATTGGTCTATCATTTAACTGGTTTGACTGATTTATTCGAGGTATCATTCTAAGTGTTAAAATTTTAATAAAATTATAGTGAATTGTATGTGTTGAGTAGAGACTACATGAATTTTCCCATGATTTTACCTTGCATAAATTATTTTCAATAATTAGCAAGGCGTTTATTTATATAAGTGTTCTCATTATATAAATGCATCTAAATGTTTGTAAAGACTTGTATTAGGACTTGACTTGAACTGAGTTGTTATTATTTGAATTCACTTTCATGTCCTTATAATTACGTCACAAGAATGACCATGGGTTTGTCTAGTGAAGTTGTCCTTTTATTCATGTTCATGAACCTAACATGATATGCAAACCAAAATCCAAATGCACATAAAAGACTGAAATCAAACTAATGCTAGATGCATATGCATGTACACTTTTTTTTTTTGCATTTTTGTGCTAGGCTGAAAATGGAAAGGTTTTAATTTGTTCTCAAATTTTTATTTAAGTACAAGTTAAGTTGACCTCACCTAGGTTAAAGTAGCAATTTTTGGCTCTCAAAATTAGAAAAGTTAGTTTCTAACTATTTTAACAAGAAATTTTTAAGACCTAAAATTCGGGTATGTTACAATATTTCTCCACAAGTTTTTGCATCCCGAATATTCCTGACAAAAAATTGGATGAACAGTATATTTTTAAATTTAATTCCATTTGTTCCATGTCCAATGAGAAAAAACTGATACATTTGTTAAAATACACACATACATTCCCTAATGATATGTATTGTGGATAATAAATCTTGAAGATGCAGGTATTCATGATGGACATAAAACAAAATTGAGCTACAGTGGGCCACAACCATGATGTCTAAGAGGTCTTCCGTTCGAGAAAAAAGTGATTTTTGAGGTGTATGTATGGACCAGCGAAATCCAAACTTGCCGTTATGCCCAAAGGCAGGGGATGCGAACCCTCGATGAGGACATGTACTAAATGTGCTGAGAAGATGCCAACAAATATAAGCATATTGTCCTGGCATCCAATATGTATTCGCTGATTTCACGATCGATACAACTACCAGAAATAACCACAGCATAATAATCCATGGTCATGAATAGATTTAGAAGAGTAACATAGTTATAGTTTTAAGTTAGTATTGTTTGTACAAATATATAAATAATTACATTGCAGTTTTAATTAACTCACTATTCCTTCTTTACTAAAATAAAACGCCAATGATATTTCAAGATTGTAAAACACCAAAAAGTAATTTACAATTAAAAAATATACTTTCTTAATTAGTTCTTCAAGGATGACAATGCCAACTTATTCATCCATGCATATGGTTAAATTTATAATTTTATATTTATTCTTCAAAACAACAAATATGAAGTTTTACTTTACATGCTCGAAAGTCAATGTGTTATTTTATTAAAATCTAAGCAATACCAATCAAGAAGTTGCGACTGTTTGTTAGTTGGTTATCAATGCCGTACTAAATACTAAGTGAAACCCCGTGCGTTGCTGCGGGAGTCTAGTACGATAATAATAAGTAAAAATAACGTGTAAGATAACTAGACAATATAATATTATATAAGTTAACGTGGTTTATGATAATTTAAATTTAAATAGTATATACAATAATGATTCAAATGTAAAAGTAAGGTGATATGACTTTATGAAAGAAGAAAAATATTGAGATAGTTTGGACCGTAGATTAATCTTCTAAAGGCTAAAAATAATTGAGGTGATAATTTAGACCATAGATTAATCATTTAAGCACTAAAAACAATTGATGTGATATGACTCAATGAGAGAAGAGAGAAATAACATTAACTAAGTGAGGATAAACTATATAGCTACATAGCATATTGTAAAAATAATGAAGATATATATTGAAATATTATGTGAATTATACGGGATGATGATTTAACATGTTTATATTTTAAAAGCTCTAAAATTTAACAAATTATAAATTTATAGATAATATAATATGTTTGTATGATGTTTAAATTTAATGATTGTTAGTGGATGAGGATGTGGCATATTGTTAGTGGACAATGATGTGGCATCTTTGCATATTAAACTTTAGGAGTTAGTGGGTTATAACTTTATAATAAGAGAGGATTCGTGTTAAATGTAGTGTGTTATTGATTAATTATAATATCATGGACTCTTCAAATTTTACTACCATGGACTATTTAGTTATAGACATACCTAAAATTTTAATATATCCTAAATTCGGAAATAATAACAAGAAAATTGAAAATGGAATGGATTCTTCTTTTCAGCAAAGCCAGAATAATGAAAGAAACCAAGACATATAAGATATGAAAGCAATCTTAATATTTTTAATATCAACAATATTAGCTTGAGCCATGCATGGGGTTGCGAGTCTGTGTAAAATAAATCATGCATTATAATAGTGTGGGCTCTAAATTTATAATTTTGAAATCCACAAGTAATCAATATTACTCCCTCCGTCCAAAACTGTAGCAATTTTTTGGTGGATGTGATATATCCTAGTGACCTGTCCAGATTCGTAGTACTAGGATATGTGACATCGAACTAAAAGTTGTTATATTTTGAGACGAAGGTAGTAATATATTTTACACCCATCTTAGACTCTCAATTTTGCGCTCTATTAATTCAGTTCTACTATTCTAAATTAATAATTAGCAAAGTTGTAACTTATATGGACTCCTCTTTTAATATAATCACACGAAAGATAACCAATATGTTTAACATAATATTACAACATTAATGGTAGCACTATTCCACGCGCTACAGTGCGGAATATTAGTTCGAGCGCCGCAGAATACCCTGTCCTTCCGATTTTTCCCTTTTTTACCACTCCACCTTTCCTCCGCATCCCACATTTTCTCGGTTCGTCTTTTTTGTTTTTTACCACCCCACCTTCTATGTTTTTTCACTTTTCCATCTCATCCATGCTTCATCAATGGGCCTGGTAAAATATTAACCATCCAGATTTTTTTGTTTTTCATTCCTTCTCTATAGTTTTTCTATTTTCACGTTTTTGTAAAATATTTACCATCTAATTTTTCTTTCCGATTTTTCCTTTTTTTATATCTCCGCACGTTTCAAAAGTAACGAATTTACTCCGTGGAGTTTTTCATTTACTCCCAGCCTCCCACATTTACTCATCCAAAAGTAACAAATTTACTCTCATTAATGCCTCCACATCGTATAACGCAATACCTAGATGGTCATAAAAGAAATATTACCAGCTTACAATGCTAGTAATTCTTTAACCAATATTATAAATATTGTTTAAATTTCGTGGTCTATGAGTAAAATAATTACTACCTTCCTCTCAATATAGCCCATGATCTCGTAGCCACCGTGTAGTAATATGTTTACTGATGTGTTCAATACACAGTATAAGAGACTGAGATTTCGTGGTCTGCGAGTAAAACAATTACCACCTTCCTCTCGATACAACCATGATCTCGTAGCCACCGTGTAGACTGATACTAAGAGTATTGTTAATCTGTATCCCAAAATAGTCGTATGAATGAAAAAATTTACATGCTCAATCACACACAAGCGATAAAATTACTCACATATGAATCAAACTAGAAAAGAAAAAAAATGATTCAGCCAAAAATTCATCTGGTGGCTTTGCTGGATCTTGCTATAAGGATGAAGAGCATGGTCTGTGTCTTGTGACTGGTAGTGGAGAGGGCAACCGGGTGGCGAGCAGTAGTCGATGATGGAATCATGGAAGGATGTAGCGGTGTGGTATAGAGATGAGCTCGACGTTGGGCAGTAGCAGCCATCCATCATCTAGCAAGTACGAAAAAAATAAAAAACCATTTTTGTTCATGTCAATAGAGACGACGAGCAAAAGAAAAATAGCAAACAACCTCTGTCACTGGCGGATTCCACCCTATCCTCTGCGGCCAGCCCCATGGAGCACGATGTGCAAATGTAAGGCCTGTGCAGCCCATCAATTGAGATCAGGTAATATTAGAGATTGCACGTTAATTTGATTTGCAAAAAAAATTAGGGCTTCATGTGTGAAGTTGAAGGAGAGTATGCAAATATAAATCAGAGTGTCATTTCCTTACTTGCTTGTTCTATCAAAGTCGCCGACATGGAGCAGCCACTGGTTGTTGCTATAGGCCCAGGTGAACATCTCCATGCTCGTTAAGGTGTTGCCTAGCGTCCGGCAGCGAGGCCCGAAGCAGTGCCTTCGCCTCAACTACCGCCGGCCACCGCTCGCCGGTCACCGCCATCAACCGCCACGGTGTCGTCGTCCTCCTCCATGGTGTATCGCCGATCTGTGGGCTGGGATGGTGGATCAATTCAGATCCGAAAAAAAGGAAAAAAAATAAAGTGGGTTCTGAAAAAAAGGAAAAAAAATAAAGTGGGCGCGAGAGTGGTTGGTTGGGTACAGAAAAAATAGAATATATACCGGAAGCAGAGAAGTTGTTTTTATCGAAGTAAATCATTGACTC